GTCCACTCCTAAATGTTAGATTTGATGACATTAAATTTGTCAGTTAAGAAAAAGAATGAGTTTTAAATCATTTGGTATTTTGAGTTGAGGGTGGGACTAGAATAGTAGTATCTCTACAGATACAGGGATATTGTTAGAGGGGAAATGATGAATTCATTACAGAGAATATGAGGTGAAGTTGAAAGAGATGTTTAAGTGGGAATACCCAGACATTTCTTCTCATTCCTCCTGATGACTTACTGCGTACGAAAAAGGTGTGTGAGTTGAAGAGTACTAATTAATGAATTTCTTTTTACAATTTCTGTCATCATGATCCACAGTACTTTAAAGCTCTGGGCAGTGGCTTTCATCTGCAGGAGTGGGTACAAGGAAGATACTGATATTCTGAGTCTAGGATTGCATGGTCTAGCCACTGGTCTCTCTTAAGAGGTTTAATTGGGGGGAACTTCCCATACAGCTGCAATTCTAGCTATTCTATGGAATTGTGCTCTGTAGAGTCATGCCATATAGCACAGTGCCACTCCAGGAAATATAGGTACGTACCAAACATATGAAAGAGAGAACTGAGCACAATGTTCTAAAAACATAAAGGATAAAAGGAAAATAATTTTAGGCATCATCAGTATAAATAGTTGACAGGGATGAAGTAGAAAAATAGGAAGAGTAACACACACCAGTTGTCTTTCATAGGCCAAAGAGGTTGGAGGAGTTACGACATGATAATAGTTGAATCGTCTAGATCTGAGTCAGTTCACCATTCTTTGAAATAAACTATTCGGAAGTGAGGACTCCTCTGATACCACTTTAGGAATGGAAGATAGGGGTGCCTGGGTGGCTCAGTTAAGCATCCAAGTCTTGATTTTGGCTCAGGTCATGAGATTGAGCCCCGCATTGGGCTCCACACTGGGCATGGAGCCTGCTTAAGATTCTTTCTCTTCCTCTGCCCCTCCCCCAACTCACGCACACAAGTGTGCACATGCATGCTCTCTCAATCTCTCTCAAAAAAAGGAATGGAAGATAAACACCCATAGAGCTTTTTGTCTGGTGCAGTTCATGGAGTGTGAATATGTGTATGTCTTTTAGTGGAAAAGTTTGAACTTAGTTGTTTTAGAACATGTTAAACTTCAGTTGTGCCCCGAATTCTACACTTAGTAACTGAAGTTAACATTTTATAGGACATGGGGAACATAAGTTCTCTTATTCTCTGTACCTAAGTTACCTTTTGGAAGGAAGTTATATTATTAATTATGTAAACATACTCCATTTTGGTACAAGATGTATCATTTAGAGAAGAATAGGGTTCTGTATGTAGAGATTCTTTATTCTAATTTTTTTACTTTGTATGTGTGTGTATGACATTTGAAAGCCAAATTATTATCAGCATCTGCCAACTTGACCAGCCAAGGGATATTCAGTTGCAGCATAGCCATTCTAAGCTTGTTTCCCTGATAAAATAATTTCTTCCTTTCCTCTTCAACAATTTTCATCTCTTGTTTTTATTTAACAGCCAGACTAACATGATTGCTCCACTCTAAGCAGTTTTTCAGGGTTGGTTGAGCTATCAAATAATCTATGTAGTTACTTGTTTATTAAAATATAGAAATTCATAAACAAACCTGGGTCAAATAATTTAAAAATTGGGTTGCAGTCAAAAAAAAAAAGAAAAGGAGGAGCTTCCCTGGCAGCTATGGCTGAACGGTCTTACCCCAAACCTATACAATGTGATGTTTTTTTGGGTGAGTTATTTTTTTCCTTATAAAACCTGCCAAGACAAATGATTTAACAGGTTCAGTTTGTAGAAATCAGTTTCTATAGTGATATGTATTACAGCAGTTCAAAAGGAAAGAACTGAGTTGAGTTATACTTTTAAAACAGGGCAATAGTCAAAACTATGTACAGGCAGACCTCTTTTTATTGTGCTTTGCTTTATTGTATTGCCAGATATTGTGTTTTTTACAAATGGAAGGTTTATGGCAACCCTGCATCAAGCATCTGTCAGTGCCATTTGTCCAACAGCATTTGCTCACTTCGTGTCTCTTGTCACATTTTGGCAATTCTCACAATATTTCAAATTTTATCATTATTACTATATTGATTATGGTGATCTGTGATCAGTGATCTTTGATGTTATTACTGTAATTGTTTTGGGGCACCACACCCTGTGCCCATATAGGACCACAAACCTAATCGATGAATGTTGTGTGTGTTCTGACTGCTCCACCTCCCAGCCATTCCCCCCCTCCCCGCCCCCGCCCCCTCTCTGTCTCTCTCTCCCCTCGGGCCTTCCTATTCCCTGAGTCACAACAATCTTGAAATTAGGTTAATAACCCTGCAGTGGCCTCTAAATGTTCAAATGAAAGGAAATGTCACACATCTCTCACTTTAAATCAAAAGTTAGAAATGATTAAGCTTAGTAAGGCATGTTGAAACCCAAGACAGACTGAAAATTAGACCTCTGAAACAAAACAGTTAGCCAAGTTGTGAATGCTAAAGGAGTAGTCCTAAAAGGAAATTAAAAGTGCTATTCCAGTGAACACACAAATGATAAGAAAGTGAAACGGCCTTATTCCTGATATGGAGAAAGTTGGAGTGGTCTGGATAGAAGATCAAACCAGCCACAACATTCCCTTAAGCCAAAGTCTAATCCAGAGCAAAGCCCTAACTTTCTTCAATTCTATGAGGGCTAAGAGAGGTGAGGAAGCTGCAGAAAAGTTTGAAGGTAGCAGAGGTTGATTCATGAGGTTTAAGGAAAGAAGCCATCTCCACGACATAAAAGTCCAAGGTGAAGCAGCAAGTGCTGTTGTAGAAGCTATAGCAAGTTCTCCAGAAGATCTAGCTAAGGAAATTCATGAAGGTGGCTCTAAAAAACAGACTTTCAATGTAGATGAACCCTGATCTGGGCAAATTGAAAACCTTCCAATATAAGGCTTTTTCATCTACATTGAAAATCTGTTGTTTAGTGGAGCCTCAGAGGGAGTGAGCCGGCAAAGCAGAAATCGGTTAGAGGGGTCCCAGCTCCATCATCAGGAGGAGCATGGAGGGTGGGTTTAGAGCTGAGAGAGAACAGCAGCATCAGCTTACTAGAAATGCACATTCTTGGGCCGCACTCCAGACCTGATGAATCAGAAATGCTGGGGATGCCACTCAGCAATTTGTGTTAAGCACCCTCAGGTGAGTCAGGTACAGGTCAAGTTTGAGAGCCAGTAAACTAAAACACTAGGCTTCCAATCTCTTCATTTGCTGATATTCACACTTCCTAATGATTGGTTCTTTAAGAATGAGAAAGTGCTACTTTTCAGAATCTAGCTGTGATCACCCTCTGCTTCCAGGACAAATTCAAATTATATAAGACTTTGGTTTCTTTATGAATTAAGTAGGAATGACACTCCTACTTAGGGTTTTGACTTCTTTTTAAGTTATAAACAGAGTATCTTTTGAGCAATAAAATATAAAAACTGAGTATTTGTGTACAGTTCAGTGTTGTAATAAAAAGTATAAAGTGAGAGGTGCCTGGGTGGCTCACATGGTTAAGCGTCTGCCTTCGGCTTGGGTCGTGATCCCAGCATCCTGGGATCAAGCCCCATGTCGGGCTCCTGGCTCGGCAGGGAGTTTGCTTCTCCCTTTCCCTCTGCCTCTCCCCCTGCTCATGCTCTCTCCCTCTGTACCTCTCGGTCTCAAATAACTAAATAAAATCCTTAAAAGAAAAAGAAATTGTAAAAAAAAAAAAAGTACAAAGTGAGACACTGAATCATATCTAATTTCTGTAATTGTGGTATTAGGTGGAATTTAAGCATAAGTGATAGCTAACCATAAATAATAATTAGCATTATTTTCAGACATCTGAGCCAGTTTTTCTCCTTTCCATTAAGTACCTCATTTTCCCTAGGAATAGTATAAAGTGTTTCTTGTAGAGGAAAGTTTAACCCTCACCACAAGCATATGCATACTCTGAAATACAAATCCAAAAATGATACTTAAAACTCATCCTTTCTCCTTTCCTACCCATATATTCCATTCCTTTGTCCCTGCCATATGATTTTGAGAAATAAAAAGCTTAACAGTGGCTAAAGAACTGAGTTAACAGTAGGAACCTATTCATTCATTCACTAAAGATCACTGAGTTCTACATACACAATGTTGCAGGCTTTGTTCTAAGCACTAAGCAAACATTAGTGAACAAAGCAAAATTTCTACATCTGGAGCTTATATTCAAATAAGTAAGATACAAATAATAAGTGAATAAATGATATATAAATTGGTGGTAGGTGTTATTAAGAAAAATACATGGGGCACCTGGGTGGCTCAGTTGGTTAAGCGACTGCCTTCGGCTCAGGTCATGATCCTGGAGACCCTCCCCCCTCTTGTGCTTTCTCTCTCTCTCTCTCATTCTCTCAAATAAATAAATAAAATCTTAAAAAAAAAAATACAGTGGTACATGGAGAAGGAGTGACTGGTCTTGTTATATTGTGCATTAATTTTTATATGTCCCATAGCCTAGCCCTCAATAAATTTTTGTTGAATGAACAAATGTATTAAGACATCTCTATAGTATCTTCTGTCTCATTGGTAACAGTGATAATACTGTAGCTAGTGAGAATTATCTAAACACAATGGCTGTGAATTCTGAAAAGTGAGAGTAGTAGCATTAAAGATTAGAAGAGTGAAAATAAAAATCAAATTTCTGGCATTCAACCAAATTAGAGTAAGGGAAGACTAAGAAAGTCAGATCATACAAGACAACCAACAGGAAGAGGCTAGCAGGTCTGTACTCTTTTTCTTTTTTTTCTTTTTTTTTTAAGACAGAGAATACTTTATTCAAATCCATCAGAGAAATGGACAACTTGGGTCTATAACAAGGCATTGTGTTTTAAAGCACAGGTCAGTAATTGTATATGAGAATATACACTGCTACATACAGATTAACTGATCAGAGCACAACTTTCCAATGCTCAAAACAGAATAAGCTTCCCTGTAAAAGCAGCACCTCTGTGTCATTAACTTTAATATTCCTCTTCTTCTTCACCCTCTCCTTCCAACAGAATCCACACCAACTTCCTCATAATCCTTCTCAAGGGCAGTCATGTCCTTGCGGGCCTCAGAAAACTCTCCTTCCTCCATGCCCTCACCCACACCAGTGAACAAAGGCACTCTGGCATACATCAGGTTATACCTGTGGTCCAGGTGATCCCAGGCCTTGGCAACAGCTGTGATGTCGCTCAGCATGCACACAGCCCACTGTACTTTACCCAGGTCTCCACCAGGTACCACAGTGGGAGGCTGATGATTAATGCCAACTTTGAAGCCAGTAGGGCACCAGCCCACACACTGGATGGTATGCTTGGTCTTGATGGTGCCAGTGACAGCATTGACATCTTTGGGAACCACGTTGCCATGGTACAAAAGGCAGCAAGACATGTATTTACCATGGCGAGGGTCGTATTTCACCATCTGGTTGACTGGCTCAAAGCATGCATTGGTAATCTGTGCAACAGAAAGCTGTTCATGGTAGGTTTTCTCAACAGAGATGACACGGGTATATCTGGCCAAGAAGTGGATACAGAGATAGGGCATCAGGTTGGTCTGGAATTCTGTCAGATCTACATTCAGGGCTCCATCAAATCTGAGGGAAGCAGTGATGGAGGAAACAATTTGACCTATCAGCCTGTTTAGGTTAGTGTAGGCTGGGCGTTCAATGTCAAGATTTCTCCAACAGATGATAGCCTTGTGAGGTTTCCCTTGTATGTTATTGTTTTCTCTTGCTTCTTGTAAAATTCTCTATCACTACTTTTGCCATTTTAATTACTGTGTGTCTTGGTGTGGACCTCCTTAGATTGCTTTTGTTAGAAGTTCTCTGTGCCTCCTGGATCTGGATTTTTGTTACCTTCCCCAGATTCAGGAAGTTTTCAGCTATTATTTCTTCAAATAAATTCTCTGCCCCCGGTTCTCTCTTCTTCTGGGACTTCTATGTGAGTGCTTATATGCTTGATGGTATCACTAAGTTCCCTGTTTTCATTTACTGTTACTACTTTTTCTCTCTCCTATTCAGCTTGACTGTTTTCCATTACTGTCCTCCAGGTTGCTTATCCATTCTTCTGCTTCCTCTAGTCTACCAGTTATTCCTTCTAGTGTATTTTTAATTTCAGTTATTGTGTTCTTCATCTCTGATTGGTTCTTTCATACGTTTTCTATCTCTTGAGTGTCCCATTGAGGTCCTCCATTCTTTTCTCAAGTCCAGTGAGTATCTTTATGACCGTTACTTTAAATTCTCTATCATGCATATTTCTTACCTCTGTTTAATTTCTTGCTGTGATTTTGAACTGTCCTTTCATTTGGAACATATTCCTCTGTCTCCTCATTTTGTCTGACTCCCTGTGTCTGAGTGTTTGGAAAGTCAGCTACGTCTCCTGCTCTTGAAAGTAGTGGCCTTATAAAGAAGAGGTCTTGGAGTGCCCTGTTCACCAGAACTTCAGGGTGTCTCTTACATGTATTGCATATGCCCTGCTGTTGTAACTGAGCTGCCTTTGCATTAGTCCAGTCATGGCTCTCTCCTCCCATTGTGGACAGGGTTTGGTCCCTATGTTGTTGTTGTGCCAGTCTGGGGCCACCTTGGGCTTGAGTTGAGTCAGAATCAGGCATTTGCCAGAGGTGTGGTAGCATTGAACTGCTGGGTACTTCTCCTTGTGTTATCTAGGTGGATGATGGAATGAGGTGAGCTTAGGGTCCTCCTATTCCACCATCTTCCCTAAAGTTGCTGTTATTATTATTTACATTGCTAAGCCCAGTTAATGGGAGTGTTTTTTTTAATTAACCCAAAATTATATGACCGTTTAATTTATGACAAAGGAGGCAAGAATATACAATGGGTAAAGACAGTCTCCTCAATAAATGGTGCTGGGAAAACTGGAGAACTACATGTAAAAGAATAAAATTGGACCCCTTTTTAACACCATATACAAAAACTCAAAATGGATTAAAGACCTAAATGGGAAGGGGTGCCTGGGTGGCTCAGTCGGTTAAGCGTCCAACTCTTGATTTCGGCTCAGGTTATTGTCTCAGGGTTGTGAGATTAGGCCCTGGGTCAGGCTCTATGCTCAGGGGTGTCTGCTGCTTTCCCTGTCCCTGCCCCTCTCCTGCCACCCCTCACCCCTGCCCCACACGCACAGACTCTTGCCCTCTCAAATAAATAAATCTTTAACAAAAAAAAAAAGACCTAAGTGGGAGTATATTTTAATAAATACTAAAAAAGGTGAGAAGATATACTCAACCCTCCACTGATCATATCTATCTGCAACATTAACCAGGTTTTTCAAACCACTTAACTTAAGCCTTGCTACCGACCACTTTGAACTAACTGCAGGCTCAAGCTTTCTGGAAGGGACGAGAAAGCTTTTTTCAAATAAGCTCTTTAAACCTAAATGGTGCCAGAAAATACCACAAAGTACCATAAAAATATATAGTTAATCTTTCCATACCTATGTTTTATAAAATAATCAAAATCAAATTTTTGTAAGCTGTTTTCAATCCTTACATCTAGCATTTTCCCCCTTATAATAAGTTCATAGTTTAATCAGCAATCTCTATTTATAGCCAAGTCTAGGTAAAGATTTTAAAAGTTGTTTTGGGGAAGCATTTCCTGCCCATTATAACATTTTTGTTAGAAGTAGAATTTATGGTGGTAAATCTAATATTGTATCAGGAAAAAGACTATAGAAACAACTTCTGGAACCATTTCAAAACAGAATCCCAAAGACCGTGTATTAATGTAGAGATATACTTAAAGATAAATTTCTGCATTAATAAAATATGCTTTATAAATTAATCTCAAGTCTGAGCCAGACAGGGAAGGGTGGAAAGCCTGAATTCTATACCCACATAATCAACAGTCTGTGGAAACTGGGAATCATGCTTTGGTCTCCAACTTAGCACAGTTGGGAAATGACATTCTTTATGAAGCACTCATCCAGGAAATGAGTGGGTCAAAAAGCACACCAGTAAAAGGTCCATAAACTTGTTTTATGAATGAAGTATAAAGTGTACTGGCTCCAAGCTGTAGCATGAGTACATCATAATTTTTCATTCTACAGTTTTTATCATGTTAATAGATATATATAACAGAATTGTAACAGGAAAAAAATAATGTCAGCCATCAGAATATTGTTCCATGCCATTTCATATTTATAATTTTTTTCCATATGTGCTCTCATTCTACGATCATATCTTCCCACCTGCCCCCCCAGACCAAAAAATGAAATGATACACACACACACACACACAAAACAGTGCAAACTTAAACTAATCAAATTTATTCATACTACCCATGAAAAGCAATTGCATTGGTACATAAAATCATTAACACACAGAACAAGAGAAATCTGATTAGACACTACAGAAAATAAATGTGAAAATTAAAAATAGCATACTTTAGTTATTAAATTTATACTGTACTTTCTACTTATTTATAGCAGCATCTGTAAGATTCCTCTATTTGTTAATAGTTAACTAGCAGCAAAATTTTTAAAATTACACAAATTCAGTAGATGTTTCCCTCCACTGCTTCATTCATACAGAATTTATCACATTAACCAAACAAAACCATTTCTTTTTCCTGAAGAAGAAGGTAGGAAAAGATTTCATAAGTAACCAGTTTCTGCCAAGAAGAAGAAAGGGGAAGGAAATTTGCATGCCATTACCAAAAGATAAATTCTCAACCCCTTGACCAATTATGGGGGATTTTGTGGAGTCTCTGTGTATGTGTTAGTGAATGAAGCTCTGTTAACTTTATTTTCTGACTTTATCTTGCAGTTGAAGAATATGTGGAAGTTTCCAGGGGGCCTGTCAGAGCCTGGAGAAGATATCGGTGTGGACACCTTCCATATTTTTAATTGGCTTGAAAATGTTCAGGAAATTTGTGTTTACTTTTTTTGTTCTATAGCTGAAAATAAGATTTTAAATTACCAAGTGAGAAATTTCAGAGAAGTTACTTCAGGGCTAATATAAAATTAGCAGTAAAACTTGTAATACTACAATTTATCCCACTAATATAAAAAATACCACTAGGAGCGTGCCACCTATTCTGTTTAGGGTTGCTTCTAGATGAATTTGTTTGAAAATAAAAAGCTTTGCACATACATTAGTAAAGTTTAGCATTAAGGGTTATTTTGGATATGACTAATACTGTTTCTGGAATTAAACTATAAGAAAACACAAATTCTTGACCATTTCACCACACAAGGATGAATAATAACTTTTAAATGAACCTCAAAATAAGTATTCATAAAGTCAGTTACAGAGCAGTAGTGACTTAATGCTCCTGTATAAAATTTTATCTACTATTTATTTTAAATAGTCAGGAAGCCAAAACATAGTAAAATGTCTCATACAAGAAAGTCTCAAGTGAGAGTTCCCTAAAGCAACTTCCTGAGCTCAATATTTCAAACGGGGAAATGTGAAATAAGCTAAGAACTCTCCATGTTACTGAATTTACAGTAAATAGAAGAAAGAATAAAAACGTAGTTTTCCTACCTATTCCTGACCCTTGGCTGGGTCAAATGCAGTCTGCATCATAATAAATCAATAGATGCCTCATTTGCTATCAGTATTATTTCTCCATGATTTTCTCCTCCATATGCATGTCCCCTATTTAGCCAACATTTATATATAAAGGCAACTTCCTAAGTTATCTTTAAATATTTTATTTAAAAATGTATATATACTTGAAACTTGATTTTTTAAATGTTACACAGATTAAAATGCCCTATACACAGTACATAGTCAACTCCTAACAAGCCATAAGTAAATTTTCTACACTGAGATATATCCGTAGCAAATTTTGGCTTTTAGGTACTTACGGATTTTCTGCCTAGAGTCCATTGCTTGGGTCGTCTGTTGAAATCAAAGATTTTGTGGTGGTACAAGTGCTGAAAGAGAGGGCCATTTATTTTGGAACACCTAATTAATCTCACACTATCCTTATGTGATACATGAGAGTGTGTGAGAGCTAGTTAAATTTATGTCTTACACCCTTACCCAATCCATATGGGGCAAAAATCAAGCTACAGGAGGTATGTTTAGCTTCCTCTTCTGCATCTTGCCTTCTCAAATGAATTGACTTTTTCCTTTTGAGTTTTTAACAGATCCTGTGAATTTTCAATATACTTATATTTTAATGCAAATGAAGAAGCACATTTCCAAGCCAAGTGTTCATAGTTTTAGGTTTAAGTGTACTCCAGAACTCTTCAAGTCCAGATTAAAAAAAAAAAAAAACAAAAGGAGTGAATTCTGAATTCAGTGTTTGTGGTTGGCACAACAACCTCCCCCTGTTCAGCCATGAGGAGTTACAAGGAAAGCAGCAACTGTTATTCATCGTACTGCTTAGGAGTATTATTCATTAAAGCTTTGCCTTAGAACTGATAGCCTGAAAGCAGCTAGAAGTGATAACTGACAAGAGAGTTCTGAAAGACTATGTCTGTCTATATTAGAGCATTTCTGTCTTATAACACAATAGATTATTCTTAACGATGAAGTCTGTTACCCAATAATTATCAAAATTATTTTCTTTAAGCTCTGTATTTAGGAAAGTATGTAATATACTTCAGGAATACAGCCATCACAAATGTGCACACATTCATATCAGCTCTTAAGTAGTAAACACTAGTTAACTGAAAAACACATTTGTTTGGAATCCTTCATTCTTTGATAATACTAGGTAAATGAAGCACTAGTGTCCATAGTGCTTAAAAAAATTAAGGGGGGGCATATACAAAGTAGAATGCAATCTTCAGGCTTTAATATAATACCCTAATAGTATGAAAGTATCTACAAGGTTAAAAACGGAGAAATTGCCTTCCTAAAAAAATTTCATTACCATTGACAGGAAGAGAATCTCCTGCATGGACAAAGGACCATAAAGCAGTGGGGTCTGCTCAGAGCTCATCAGTGCACCAGAATCAGAGGGAAATGCCAGGAAAACCCACCTTCTGCACAATCTTTCCTATTTTATTTCAACCTAATCCTATTGTTAAATATTACAAAATAGAAATAAACTCCATTTCATTGTCCTGTAACTAAACAAAACACTGACATATTTAAACATACCTCTCAATCAGCAAAAATAAAAACAAAACCCTCTTGGTTTTTCCCTATGTTCTTTAAGCATATAAAACAGTAAATGTTATTTCAGTTCAGCTTACAGTACATTAAAATAAAGGTACAACAGAATAAAGCAGTTTATCTGCATAAAAAAAATTTTTTTTTAATTCTTGGCGAAAAAGCCTTGGGGTAAAGATTTCCATCTTGAGGTGGAAGGAATCATTCATACCCTGGATGCAAAACCATTTATTTACCCATTCGATTTTTAGTCTAGTCAATGATATGCTGATTCAAGTTAAACTGATCAAACTACCAGGCAGTGCTGATTTCCAATCAACTGCTCAGGTGGACTGCTGAGTAGGGTAGATCAACTCACTAGTCTGTCCTGTGCCTCCATGATACATAAAAAGGCTAGACTCCGAATGAAATGCCAAACTCTGGATTAGTGGCACTAAGAGTTTAACAGAACCCCATGGTTATTTTTCAAAGCGTTGAAAGAATAAAAATAAACATTTAAATAATAGTTAAGTGAAATCAGCAAATGATGTCTAAAATTTAAGACTAATGCCAAATCTGTAACAAATTAACGTATTCCAAGCTGAAAGTTTGGTTTTTTTTTATTAAGGAAGATTTTCCTTTTACTCACAAATTCTTTTATGTTTTTAGTTTAAAACAGTAAGTTCTAACCATGTTTAATCTATGGCAAATCTCAAGGGAAGGGGAAGTCAGCATGTAATTCAAAATGGCAGACAAATGTCTTATAGTTTAGAACACTTTGCTTTTCCTGTGCATATTTCCAGAGCTGTTTCTTGGGGCGGGGGGGCGGGGGGAGAACCCACAAGCATATGTAGGCAATTAAGACTGTCTACAGTCAGAATATGTGGAAATTGAGATTTTTTTTTCCTTGACTTCCCCTTCTTGCCTATTCTTCACCAGTAGGACTACTGAGAAGGCAAATATAATTTTCTATTTGACAAACAAGGAAATAGAAGCATTGACTAGAGGTCTTTGAACAAAAATCAATGCCTGTGGCAACTGTGAAATTGGGAAGCTTCCAGCAAACTGAGCAAAGAAGGCAGCTTTTTAAAGGGTTTTTCTCATGAACACTTTGGGAGACAGTGACAGAGCATCACAAAATTAGAGAAAGTCCATTTAGCAGGTTCTTCTGGAGATTTAGAAAAAGCAACCACAAAAATGTTAATGGCAGTCAAAATCTTGCTCCAGAAATCTGCAAATATTGAAAAAAATCAACCTTATAAAATGTGAAACCCTTGTATTATAAAATTCTGTAAACTGCAAGTTTTTTTTTTTAATACTTTTGATAAAATAGTTCTTTAGAATCTCAAGAAACAAAAGAAATGCCAAAAACTACCATAATGGGATTCCACTGACAGGATAACTAAGGGAGCATAACAAAATGGTTATAAATGAAACTGCTCTAGGATGTCAGAGGCTTGACAGCCCCACCCAAGATCACCGGGAAAGCTTTGAACCGTTCACAGCTCAATACATTCTGCAGCTCTACAGACTTTTGTAAGGAAGAATGAATCACTTTTTCTCAATACTGATACATAGAAGTTTAGGCAGTTTTGATGGATGATCACTAACAGGATAATAATGAAGAAATATGTAGGAATAGTAACTGCAGGGACCTATGTTTTCAATTTTTGGGAAATAGAGTCAGAAGAGGTTAAAAATGTGACCCCCAAAATATACAGGTGGGTAAGCCTACAAATAGCAGCCAAAGAAATATTCAATATTTCAAACGCTTCTAAGATGTACAGTGGTAAGAAAATAGTTTGGTGTTCCAGGATGTCCAGATGGCAGAGTTTATGTTGAATACTTTCCTAGGATGAAGTTTTTTGCTTTTCAACCTTTAGATAATGCTACTCTCTCTGAAAATCTTTGATGATTAAAATTCTAAAAATGTGATCCTTACTGATTTGTACATCTTTCTTTTATGTAGGAGAGACAGCAGTTCGAGAAGTTTTTGAAGAAACTGGTATAAAATCAGAATTCATGTCCCTCCTGAGCATTCGGCAACAGCACACCAATCCCGGAGCTTTTGGGAAATCAGATATGTATATCATCTGTCGCTTAAAGCCACATTCATTTACCATAAATTTTTGCCAGCATGAATGCTTAAGGTGTGAATGGATGGATCTCAATGACCTGGTCAAGACTGAAAATACAACTCCCATCACCAGCAGAGTTGCTAGGCTGCTGCTATATGGGTACAGAGAAGGGTTTGACAAGATTGATTTCACCGTGGAAGAACTTCCGGCAATTTACACAGGCTTGTTCTATAAACTCTATCACAAGGAACTGCCAGACAATTACAGAACTAAGACAGGAATGGATTAAATCCTTATTTGCATGTTTTAAAAAATTTTAAGTAAATTGTACATGCAGAATAATGTGTGCCATATTATAAAAAGTAGTGGACATTTGGTGTTAACTAAATATCTGACTTTAATTTTCTAGTGTGTATAATTTTCATGAAAACTTGTTTGATGAAAACTTGCAAGTTTATAAGCCTCTTTTCAAATGAAGCAAATGTATGAAAAAGATTGTAGCTGTATGTAAGCTTCACTGGATAAAGGCAAATGCAATACAAAAGGTGGAAGTCTATACATTTTCCAGGAATTTTTGTTGCTTTTCTTTAGTAAGGCAATGGTTAAATATTTACTATTAGAAAAAAGGTTATCTGACCATTCATCCCAACTGAGCAGATAGCTGTACACATTTTTTTCTTTTCTTTCATTAACAAATTTCAAAAATATACGTCGTCTTTCATGTGAAATGAGATCAGATGCTGCCGTTAAGATCAGCTCTTAGCAGACATAGGAAGAAAAAGTATAGCTTTCTGCCCAGGTCCTGTTTTGGGTCCAAGTTTATACTGCCCAGTTCGTTTCAGTGCCACATACCAACTGGAGTATTTCCTTGACCGGTAAGTATTGTAGTTATTAGATTCCAATCGTTCAAAAAAGAAACACTCGTCGGTAACACATTTCTGAAAAATAAAGGAAGAATTCATAGTTACTTTTATATTTTCATATGAAATATTTATGACACTACACTGCCTGTTCTGCTCAACCAGCAGCAGTGCTCTTGGCTTCAGCAGCAGAGTCCAACTAGTTTGCAAGATTCAACAGACCAAAAGTCTGACAGAATTTAGCTCTGCAGAGGGATGCGGGAAGGAACACAGCAAGTCAGCAGGAGAGCTTTCAAGCACATCTCTTCAGAGGAAGAATTCAAGGACCATTCTCCAGCCCCCACAGGGGACAGACCAGGTGTTAGGCAGCAAGAGCACACAGATGCGCTGGGAACCACACCGCGTCGGACTTGAAACATCCCATGAACACAGCTTTCACAAAGGGAGATAAATCCAGTAACAAAGGGCACAGTACACTTAGTGAAACCCAGAGCTGTGGCTTCCAGCTAGGTACTTATGGTGCATCCATATTCCTCCCAGTCCAGAAGCAGGTTACCAATCAGGGATCACTTTTATCAGGGTTCCATGAAAGTGATGGAAGGGTAACCCACAGGTAACTTTCCTAAAGAAGAAGGGTTTTGTTAATACTTTTCTCACAGAAACAGAACCAATTCCTTAAATTATAGCAGTTTTTTTCCCTCGTGTTTACCATCTCTAAGGCATAAAAACAATAGTTTATTGTACAGAAAATAGCTAATGTATATAATGCCCAAAAATTGTACTAGAACCTTATATGATTAGTATTCTCAAAACACTAATAGATAATGAAGAATAAGTAATGTAGACCATATTGATTTCTGGCAGTGTCTTTCTTGTGGGAAAGGAAACTGTTCTCCCTTTTTATTTCAGTTCAACTCTTTATGGGGGGTGGGGGATAGCTAGATTCACAAATACTTAGACCTGGAAATACTATTCCAAGTAATGGAGTCTAAGAGGCTGCTACATTATTTCACATAAATGTTCAAAAATCAACTTCACAGGATAGACTGATGATAGTTACTGACCTTTGGGGTGTGTGTTGGGTGGGGGGTGTCAACAAATGATTTACTTTAAGGGAAGAAAGGAAAAATTATTTTTTATATTACAATTAGATAGGAAGAAAGAATTATAAACTCATATAGAAAACCATATAAATTTATACATATTTGTATCTCTACATATAAATACAACATGTATACATAGATATATGACATAAGCCTATAATTTTGTATTAATGAGTATACCGGATTCCAACTTATTTCTATATACTCAAATTTAGGAAACTTCAGGTTTAAGAACACACATTCAAAAGACTTGAATCTTTTCCCAGATTCTTTAGTTCTAAGATAAACTGAACAGTGGCACAAACTGTGAGAAAAACATAAATCAAGAAACAGAACAGTGAAAAGAGCTGGCATAATAACCAAAATGAAAATGATCTAAATATGAGTAACAGGCATCTCAGTCATGTAAAGTAAGGGTGTGGTATTAGATCTTGTAATCTGCTACTAGGGATAAGAATTTTACCGGATATTTACTTGGCTTTAACATTCTGATCACTGTTAACTTTTTAAAATGGAAATACAAACTTATCTAATTTGCCCATTTTTTGCAAGAAATTACTAACAAAGCAACTTAAGTCCTTCTGATGCACATAAATGACAGGTAGCATTACAGAGAAGTATACATCGCACAAGGACCCAGCTATGTGATACATGTAAAGATAAAAGTGTGGTAACAGTGAAACACTTATACCTAGAAAAATGTGGCTATTCCGTAGACAATACTTTCACTTTACCTTTGGTAAAATTTATTGTGCTTTTTGTATTAACTGAAGTCATCCTGTGTTACTTTGTCACTTTTCAGCGCCCCTGATAAAAATTTTCCTCTTTCCCTATTCCAGGTTTAAGATCAGGAGTAGAAGAAGCAGTCACAAGTAAAGAATGAAAAAAATCATAGTGATCATAAAGGTAACATGAATGGTCATCACTGAGCTTCACAGGCTAATTCCCCAGGGGGAGACCTAAGCCACATCATTCAGTCATCATTCTGGACACTGATTTTTGAGTGTTGGGTGCCCCACCTTGCTAAGCTGGCATTCCCTACAATGCCTGGCCTATTGAGATACATACCATGCCAACAATATCTGCCTTCTCAGCCAGTTCCTAGTATTTCAGAGAAAAGTAATAGTACCAGTGATTAAGTAGATAATACATCATAAACCCACTTTTTTTTTTATAGAATTTACTTGTACCTTTACAAAAACAAAGGGGAGAGAAGGAAAACTTGCATCTGTGCTGAATGTTCAGATACGTAAATTTACTAAACTATGACACACTTGAAAACAAACTACATTTTTCCAAATGGGTGGTAGGGCCAAAATTCAGCTCTCAAGTAAAGCAGGCATTTAACAGCCCAATATAAGTATGATTTTCAAGCCTCTCCATCCTAAGTTTACAAGTCATTATCAATGACTATGATCTCAATGTTCATGTTAAAAATGAATGCAATATAATTTTTGCTTATCTTTATAAACATTTACAGAGCTTTTTCCCTATTCTCAATGTTTAACTGCTCACCTTTTCAAACTTACAAGAAAAGGGGGTCTTCAGAGGAATGACATCACAGAGAAAGTGGATAAGTAGTTTCTAAGGGCTTATAACACTTGTACCCTGCCTTTGAGGCCTTATTTTATATAGGCCAATGAGATGGGAAATTCCTTAATCATGGCTTTTGACCTCTTTCATGCATATCATTTAAATATCACAACAATCCTGTGACATAATTATCCTATACACATTATCTAAAACTCCATGCTATTAGTAACTTACTTCAGATTGTGGATACTCTCTGCCCATGTATCTAGTCTGACACCTTTTCATAAAATTAAATTTTCCTTTTTTAAAATTTAAGAGTAAGGGGCGCCTGGGTGGCTCAGTCGGCGTCTGCCTTCAGCTCAGGTCATGATCCCAGGGTCCTGGGATAGAGCCCCACATCGGGCTCCTGACTCAGCGGGGAGCCTGCTTCTCCCCCTCCCACTCCCCCTGCTTGTGTTCCCTCTCTCACTGCCTCATTCTCTCTGTGAAATAAATAAGTAAAATAAAAAAATAAATAAAAAAAAAATTTAAGAGTAATTTGGGGATATATAAAGCACACAGTTCAAGTGATGTACTCATTCATTTAATGTATAGCTTGTCTTCCAGGCACTGGGATACATCAGTGAACTTTGTGCCATTCAAATTCCAGCTGGGGAGACACACAATAAGCAATAAGCATAACTAAATAAGTTATATGTTACAATATGATAAATCCTGTAGAAAAAGGTAAAGCTGAGTAGGATAAGAGGGATTAGGAGTGGTGGGGGTAGAGATTAGGTTGCAATTTAAATAGCATAGTCACAGTAAGCTCCATTGAGAAACTGACATTTGAGCAAATACTTGAAGGAGTTAACTATCCAGCTATCAGAGAAGAGAGAGGGACTAGCCAATGCAAAAGCCCTAGGACCAGGCCTAGAATGTGTGAAGGGTAGTGTGTACGAAGCAGAGGGTTTGAAGGGAAGAGTAATTGGAAATGAGGTCAGAAAGGTATTGGGATAGGAGATTTGTAGGTATTGTAAATATTTAGCTCCTACACTGAGAAAATAGAAAGCCATGGTAGGCTTTTAAGCAGAAGAGTGGAATGATCTGACATATTTTTCCAGCATGACTTTGGCTGCCAAAACTACACTGGGCCAAAAGCAGATACAGAGACACTGTTAGAGGCTTGCTCAGTAACCTAGGCAGAGACAGTGGAGACTTGGACTACAGGGATGGCCACAGAGATGGTAAAAAGCTGTCTGCATCTGGATATATTTTGACAGTAGAATCAACAGGGTTTCCTGACAGATTGGACGTGCAGTACAAGAGAAATAGAGGAATCAAGGATGACACTGAGGTTTATGTTCTAGAATGTGGACTTGTCATCAAATGAGATAGGGAAGGCTATGAATGGGAACAGGTTTTATGGGGAAAGATGAGGAAGTCAGTTTTGGACATGGTGAGTTTGAAATGAATATTAGACATTCTAACAAAGATAATGTGTATTGACCACATACTATACAACAGACACGTCATTTAACCTCCCCCCCGCCTTCCTAATGCTAACAGCCACAGAATTGGCAGTTGAAAAGTTCTCATTTATTTGGAATATTAGAAAATGTGTTAAGTTACAATAATTCCAATGAGCTGTTCTCAATTCTAAAAGGTATGGAACCTAAAAAGGGAATGTAGACGTACATGTATGAGAGTAATATAAACCTGTCAGGTGTTAGTGGTAGGGCACACCACAAGACCTCTCTGAAGGCTGTCCACATGAGCCAGCTAAGCTCATGGTCCTAAAACATTTGTTCACAGTGATAACAATGTGCTAATGATATTAAAGATGATTCTGGGAGTTTGACCCCTTGTAGGGGTATCTGAAGAGGAAAGACTCAAGTAGAGTTTGGAAAAGCATAATTAACATTGTAAATGGGTTTTTGTCTAGATATTTACTTTGAAATTTCCAAAAAGAAAGTAAAGTGATACTTACACATATTAAAAAACTGATCGTAGGAGATGGTGGGAACCAGGTTTCTCACTGTTGGAGTGGGAGATTACAGACAAGACAGGGAGGCTAAAATGATTCATATGATACTGGCAGATTAGGGTTGGAGACATTGGTAAGTACTCATGTTTGGCTTAATATACAGATAAAGAAATAATCATAGATGTATATATATCCAGGGTAGGGTATGCCTATATTTCTTGCTCTGTCAGGTGAGAGGACCTAGAAGCAAACACACTTCATCAGCAAAAAGCAAACCTAACATCCAGATCTTGGTCTATAATACCATTTCCCATATAAGCAAAAGGGCTCCTTAGAGAAATGGCTCCTCCTAGACTATAGTAGAGAATATAGAAGATGAACCTGGAGCATCTTGTAGGCCATCAGGAAGTGCTCAAAATCTTCCAACATTGATGGGGGTGTGTCAAAGAGTACAGGAGCCAACTGGAAAAGCTCCCAATGACCATAGCAAAAACAATTTGAACAAAATAAATAACACAGTATTGGGTTATAACCCAAAGTATAAAATAAATATTCATGAGTATATGTATATTGATACAAATGATTGAATAAATAAATAAATGGAGAATAGACAGATTTCTCATGCAAAAGAATTCCAAATTTGTAAATATTTCTCCCTCAAGGAGATGGAGCATTAGCCCCTATCCCTTAAATGTGGACTATGTATAGTGACTTACTTCCAAAGAATACAGGGTGGAAAGGGGGGGAAAAGAATAACTTTATAGTAGAGACAAATAATACCTCAGCCAGATGATCAAGATTAACAAAAATTTGGATATACAATGAGAAAAGAAATAAGAGGCAGGGTAATTTCTCCTCCTCACTGTCATCTCTTCCCATTACGCATCGATTGCACAAATCTGGTCTACTGCTAAAGGTTAGATGTGAACTTTATGGCCATTTCCCCATGTTCTGTTTTTTGGATTGTTTATTCTTTTACAGTACTTTGATTTTTCAGTTTTGGCTTATGAGGGAGTTTGCTCAACATGGATCCAAAAATGCTTTGCTTACACCACTTCTGAGAATTAAAAACAGACATGATGTAAGTATCAGTGTTGATTATTTCAGAACAAAATAAAACACACAAATTGTGAAAAGTTAAAAGCAAATTTGACCTTAACCTTTGTATATACATACAGTTTGTATAAAATTTTTATAAGGCTGGTTTCTAAAAATAATTCTCATTAGGTAGTAAACTTTGCATTTAATCTAGTGTTTTATCTCTTAAAAATAATATACATTCCTCTTCAATTACTATATTTTTCTGACAAAACTGATCAGTATATATTGTCAATCTAAGTAACTGAGCCCTCAAAAATCTATTTTCCTTACTTTGCTGTATATGTAGGTCTCAATATATTTTACTTTTACAGTAATTAAGTGTATCTCCTCAGAGAATAATTTTTTTTTTTTAAGATTTTATTTATTTATTTGACAGAGAGAGAGAGAGCGAGAGCAGGAACACAAGCAGGGGGAGTGGGAGAAGGAGAAGCAGGCTTCCCGCTGAGCAGGGAGCCTGATGTGGGACTCGATCCCAGGACCCTGGCATCATGACCTGAGCCGAAGGCAGACGCTTAACGACTGAGCCACCCAGGCACCCGAGAATAAATTTTTTTTCATGTTTCACTATTATGGATCCACACAAGTTACATGTACATTTCTAATATTGAGATATCTTGTTCAGGGTATCATGATCTATAGCATTATATAGAAATCAACATGCAATTTTCTAGCACATAAAGACCAGGCAAATTTTCTTTACCAGTGCCAACACTGATGTTGTTTGGTGACTTAAATTTAAAACTACAGTTAACCTCACTATATGCAGTTTTTTAAAACCTACAATTTTGTGAACACGTAAGAAATCATAAATCCTAATATTTGTTCTGGACCTCTGTTATTCATGACAACAAAATTTATCCTCTATGGAATGGAATAAGAGTCTATTACGTATTAAAAAACTACTCAAGTTAAGCCTCTAAATATAGGCTTTGGCAGTTAAATATAGTTACTCTTTAAATGTTTGTATTTTCTGGGGCACCTGGGTGGCTCAGTCGTTAAGCGTCTGCCTTCGGCTCAGGTCATGATCCCAGGGTCCTGGGATCGAGCCC